CCTCTCCACAGCATCCCCTTCCTCTCCGGCCCCCTCCTCCCGCCTCGGTGAGCACCCAGGAGCCGGGTCGGGCCGGGCTGGGAAGCGCCGCGACTTCTCACGGCACCGCGCACTCCAGCCCCGACGCCCCCACAGTCCTTGCATCTCTCTAACCCCCTCACCTCCTCGTCCCGGACGCTGCCCGCTGCTCTTTCACCGAGCCTGCCAGTTTGGTCCTGTTTCCTTCTCTAGGTAAAACTCCCTGTCAGTGACGGTTACTTTTTGGCCTTTTCATGTATGCATATTTTGGGGGCCTTTACCCCCCCTCGTGGAGAAATGGAGGCAACAAAATGGCGGACCCGGAAGTGAAGGCTCCGCGAGTACGCTTTTCGGCGGAGGAATCTGTGGAGGAAAATTGATTAGAAAACCCACTTTTCCTTTCGAACAAGAAGATGATGAACTTCTGAAGCTCGTTTCTTCTGTAGTGAAGGTCTCTTGAGCCGGAAAAGTGTGTACCGGCGACATCCCCGGAGGGACTATTTAGTGAGGCGGAGGGTTGGGAATTACGTGTTTTACGACTGTGTAGTTCCGGTAAGGGACGGACCTTGAAGGTGGTTTTGGCGCCAAGACCTGAACAAACCACTAAAGGGAAATCAAAACTGTGTGTCTGGAGTTTCAGTTCTACCTCTCGACGACGACTCCAGGGTAGCCAGCGATAAGGTTGACAGGAAAAACTTTGCTTCCTTGCCTTAGCTCGGGTGACGCTTCAGGGGCATTCCTGGCTTCGCCCGGGGATTTACCTCTGTTGCCTGAAGATCACGCATTTCGTTTCAGCCGCCAGCAGCAAGTTCTCAGATGGGACTGCGAAACCAGTACCTACTGCGTGTGCCTTTTGGGGGCGCAGAAGATGGAGCATGAGTTTGCAAATCCAGTCAGTCACTTCGCTTATCAGTTGATCCCGTCTCCACCCACCAGTTTCCATGATTCAAGGACTTGAAGACCTCGGGAAAGCCCTTCCGAAAAGGACACCTCATTTGTCCCTGGCTCCTTTCCTTGACTGGTTTAAACTCTACTTAAGAGGATTTGTGTCTCTCCCATGTGCAAACTCCTTGAGTTCAATTGATGTTATCTTTATCACTATTGTCCACTACTATTTGCATTGATATTTTTGAGAACCGAGTGAATTTTTAAAAATTAAAAAAAAATTTTTTTCTTTACCACTGAAATTTGAACCCAGCACCTTCACTGTGCCTTACATCCACAGCTGTTCCCCCCATTTTGAGACAGGATTTAAGTCACTAAAAGATTCTTGAGTCATTCCTATTTACAGCCTCTTATACTGTGTCTGACTTAGTGTTTTTAAATATAACAATAGGAACACAAAGACACCCCCCCAAGGCCTAAACCCAGGGCCTTTACTTTTATTTATTTTATTTTTTGGTACCGGGGATCGAACTCTGGACCTTGTGCTCCCTTGCAAAGCAGGGAGTGGGACCACTGAACTAAATCTCCCGCCCAACTTTTTTAAAATTTTGAGATACTTAAAAAAATTGCCCAGGCAGGTCTTGAGCTTCCAATCCTGCCTTCGGCCTCAAAGAATGCCCGGCTGTAACACTATTTTCAAGTTAGTTTCACATAATTTTTTGGAATGTGGCAAATTACAAATAAGCAGATAACATCTGGGTGAATTAGTCTACTTTTTAGGCACCTACGAAAATTTTATCAAAAATATGTTGGTAATCAGTGGACAAGCATAAGATTGGTTAATCAGCTTTCTTACAAACTACTTTAATTGTAAGATTTCACCCCTTTTTTTGGTTACCTACCTCTTCAACCTGAAATTCACCTTTCAATGTATAAATCTATTTGAATCATTCTTCCTCTTAATTGAATATTAGATAAAATGTATAACCTAAATGCGAAAACCTGGCTAACATTAAGGCCTGTGGAGAGAAAAAAACTAGAATCCAGTCCTGGTATTGAGCCTCTTTATTAAATAAACAAGTAATGGCCTGGGGATTTGGCTCAATGGTTCTGCCACCTGCCTCGCAAGCTCAAGGGCCCGAGTTCCATCCCCGGCACCCCCCCACCGAGAAACAAAAAATAAGTAAATGGCAGCACAAACCAGCAATAACTTTGGAAGAAGTGGGGACAAGGTGTAGGGTCAAAGGGTAATTGTTCATTTCATAGTCTTAAAGTAGCTAAAGAACTGCACCTGAGGTACACTGATAGGTATTATATATTCCAAATACAAGAGGGCAAGATTAAAATATTGAGGACCAAACCCTATTCCCTTTAGAAGTCTTAATCAAAACCTTACAAATTATCCTACCAGCTAGCAAGATTTAAGATTTGAAATCTGATTTTTCTCAGCAAGTTTTCAACCTATTTAGGAGCAAAATTGTAAATAGGTTAAAGATATACTCTTCTGAAAAAGAAAAAGCTTGGCCATTTCTGAAGTGATTTAGTACTTCCCCATTTTCATTTTCCATGAGGTTATCATTTCCTCTTGTTTTATACCTTTAGGTACCCCAATCTCTTTGGGGGAAAAGAATGTATTATAAGAAGGGGCAGGGTTGAAAAAGCAAGTCTTAGCCTTTTGGAAATCTTTGGTAGCAAGTCACCTCAAATTAAAACTTACAGGTTTTTGTCAACCCTTCAAGAAATATTTATGTTTACTGGCCAGGAGCAGAAAATTAGGAAGGTATGAGCAATCTTTGAAGTGGATTAAAATGGAATTTTTACAAATCAGCCTTCCATTTTGTACTATTTACTACTCCTTGGTGCCCCCAAGAGGATTACTTTCTCAAGTTGATAATCCCAGGGTGGGAGGGCAGTGGAGCCCCTGCGACCCAATACAACATTGCTGGAGCCCCTACTTTGTGGCTTAAGGGCTTTTGAGAGGAATGGAGTAGATAAAGAGATGAATAAATAAATAAATACAACTCAGTGAGCAGATTCATCAGCACCACCAACACAACAGAGGGAAGAGAACAAGATGAAAATGGTAAAGGGATGGAAGGAAGGAGCTGGAAAGGGAAGACAGTGAGGAGAGAGAAGTCTTGGCCTCAGAGCAAGTCCAGTTCAAAGGCGTGGATGCTGGCAATGGGAGCTCTCCAGAAGTTGAAGGTGCTGTACTCCAGGAGGACGTCACCTTCAGGGCTCTTCTCCTGCTCTGCTCCAGTTGCTTGCCCGGTCATTTTGCCAGCGCTGCTGTCCTTGATCTTGTAGGTAGGTGTATCGGACAGACCCAAGCCTTCCAGCTCGGACAGGTCCAGTTCCGGAATGGGCATCCTCCAGAAAAGAAAGGAGCTGTACTGGCTGCTCACAGGGTCCCTCATAGCTTCCTAGGAAGAAACCACTTGTCAGTCTTCATGCCAAAGCAAACTCTTTCTGCCTCCCTTTTTATTTTTATTTTTTTGGTACCAGGGATCGAACTCAGAACCTTGCACTTAGATGGCGGAACCACTGAGCTAAATCCTCAGCCCAGCACGTTTTATTTTTTGAGATTGGGTTCCATTAAATTGCTGGGCTCCAACTGCAATCCTCCTGCTTCAGCTTCCCAGAGTGAGTACTGGGATTATAGGTTTGTGCCACCATATCCAGCTTGCTCTTGGCATTTTCTAGTTTAGAAACTCCACATCCCCATTTACATCTGTAAAATAATCCAAGCTCCCTAGAACAACTTGAGAACTTGAGGCTAAGGCAGGAGGATCACTGCAAATTCAAGGCCAGTCTGGGCTACAATGTGTAAGGCACACCTAGAATACATAGACCTTGTCTCAAAAAACGAAAACAAGGGCTGGGGATTTAAAATGCTCCATGGTTCCGCTGCCTATCTCACAAAGGCAAGGTCCCAAATTCGATCTTGGTACCCAAAAAAACCTCCCAAAAAACAAAAAATTAGGGTCAAGGATTTAGCTCAGCGGTTCTACTGCCTGCCTCAAAGGCTCAAGGCCCTGACTCCAGTACAAAAAACCCAAACAAACAAAAAAATTAGACTCAAGATTAACTCAGGCAATAGACAATAAATAAGTCATTCCAAGATGAGGAAAGGTTAGTTTTTGTTTTTGAGATTTGGTTCTTTTTTTTTTTTTTTGGAGACAAGGTCTCACTATGTAGCTGAGGCTGGCTTACAACTCACAATGATCCTCCTGCCTCAGCCTCCCGAGTGCTCAGCTAATAGGCATGTGCCACCACACCCAGCCTAGAAGGATAGTCTTATCTCCAACATACTGGAAGTTTCCCTAAAGGTAAAACCAGTGTACTTTCTGTACACAGATGCACAAAGCTGGCTGGTTCATTTTCCCTCAGTATTTAATACTGATGAGTACCTTACCATTCATTCATCTATTAGTCCACAGATAATCTTACCAATCTACTTCTCTCTAACCTACCTCTCCTTCAAAACCAAATCGTTCTAGAATTTTTGTTATAACAGGACCTCCTTTGATCCTAATCCTAGAGTACAACTGTTGATAATGAGAGTAAGTGGAGTTGGATAGCTGACACACACCTGTAATCCCTGCACTAGGGAGGCTGAGGCAGGAGGATCACTGAGAGCTCAAGGCCAGCCTGGATGGACTATGTGGTGAGACCTTGTCTCAAAAAAAAACAGGTTGAGGGCCAGGGATTTACCTCAGTGGTTCTGCCGCCTGCCTCACAAGCTCAAGGACCCAAGTTTGATTCCTGGTACCCCCCCCAAAAAAATCTGGCAAAATAAAAGGTTGAGGGCTGGGGATTTAGCTCAGTGGTTTTGCCACCTGCCTTGAAAGCACAAGGACCTGAGTTCGATCCCAGGTACCAAAAAAAAAAAAAAAAAAAAAAAAAAAAGATTAGAGTCCCAGGTGAAGGGAGATCTACACTGAAAGGAGATACTTTCCCATGCTTTAATGAGTAGCTCTCTCACCGCTTCTGTTGATCCTACCCACACCTGACCTGATGTTATGACTATTATAGCTCCCTGAACCTCCACCCTCCTAGTTACCAGCCAAGGGAAGGCGCAAGAAGCCTTAGTGGGGGGGGGGGAAGCCTTAGTTGAAACATTCCCATCAAAGCAGAAGGAACATTCCAGTGCCTCTAAAATTAGAACTGCGTTTCAAAAGCCTTCCTCTAGCACTCACCGGGCCTATTGGCTCTCACCAGGCCTGTGACTCCTAAATAACTGCCTGATGTTAGGTGTCTAGCTCAGTGGTAGAGCATTTGCCAGACATACCCAAGGCGCTGGGTTTGATCCCCAGAACATACACAAAAAATAATTAACACTAAATAATAGCGCTAAACAGGTTCCAAAATGCACGTATATAATATGAAATATCTACTAAAGCAGAAAAAGTAAGCTTTGATCTAGAACACAGTGATGTTATGAGAGAACACGAACTTTACAAGTGGTGAGTGGGTAGGCTAATTCTGAATTGTTCCCCCTCCCTTTGGTTCAAGCTCCAAAATAAACCGAGAAGTGAGCATTACTCAGCAGAGAGACTGCTGCCGAGGGTGATGCTGGCCCGGAGCAGGTGGGGGAGGGCCCTGGAGGGTGAGGTCATCCTCCTGTGAGACTCAGCCCCACCACCTTCACAGAAATCTGCAGAGACATGTGCAGAGACATAGAGCTAGGAAACAGCTGTACTTATTAACCAGCCAATCCCTCCTAGGGTCTGGGGCTGAGGAGATCCTAAGCAGCAAGCCTTAGAATCAAGAGTACCACTGACTGCCCACTGGAATGGTTTACTATATTACCAGCTTTTCCCCCCTAGCTAGCTGGCTTCTTTTTATATCCCCTCCCTGGCATTTCTCCCACAGAGTGACCTTAGTGTAATGCTGGGCACATCATGGGCTCTTTAAAAAATAGAATCACATGGAGCAAAATCATAGAATTTAAAACTAGACCAAACCTTAAAAATCATCTAGTGATTTGTGAAAACTTCTAGTCAGTTTATAAGTCTCATAGTCCCCAGTCTTTGCCTACAGCTTTATATACTTCTATGTCAATGTTCTCAAATTTTGTGGGACTTTAGCTTTTTGTTTTTTTTTTTCCTCTTTTTTTTTTGTTTGTTTGTTTGTTGTTTTTTGAGGCAGTGTCCCACTATGTAGTCTAGGCTAGCCTCACACTCATGGTGATTCTCCTGTCTCAGCCTCCTGAGTGCTGGCTGGGATTACAGGCATGTGCCACCATGCCCAGCATATCTCTCTGTGTTTTTGAGGCAAGGGCTTGCTATGTGGCTCAGGCTGGCCTTGACCTTGCAATCTTTCTGCCTCAGCCTAGGATTATGAGTGTGCACCACCACAGCTGGTGAGATTCTAGTTCTTGAAGAACAGATGTTCTAGGGCTGGGCATGTAGAGTGCTTGCCAACGTGCATAAGATCCTGGGTTTGATCCCCAGCACCACACACAAAAATGCTTTGCTTAAAAAGGAAATAAAAAAGAATAGATAGGTGTAGGTCAGGTGTTGATTATTCCTGTGATTCTGATCACAGTAGAGAAAAATGTGAAATGCAGTAGAGTAAGCTAGAATCTGAGAAAAGCGAAAAAGCTCTGACAAATTGACTCCTTTTCTTACAACTACAGTTATTTATAAAACTGCCTGAACAGTTCGTGTATGATGGAACACTCTTATAATTAATAAATTCCTGCCAGCAATTTAGCTCAGCAGTTCTGCCATCTGCCTTGCAAGCACAAGGACCAGAGTTCGATCCCTGGTACAAAAAAAAAAAAAAAAAAATCCAAAAATGTAAAAAAAAAAAAAAAAAAAAAAATCCTAAAGAAATTTTGTGAAATATTAACTCAAAAGGCCTAAAATCTCCATCTGAGCCATTGACACACAGCATGTACAGAGTACCAAATGCATTCCAGGAAGACACATATACAAACATAGCCTTAAAATCAAGGCAAGAACATAAGACTACCTAGAAAATTGAAGCTAAAATATGAATATTTATTAATGTAAAGATATTTATCATGTGATTTTTAAAATTTAATATGGTATGGGTTTAATTTCAAAGTCATCCACATTTTGCAAACGTCTTATCAGCTAGCTTCTCCTTCCTCTTCTCATCTGTCCTTACATCTGACATTTACATATCCTAAAGGGTTTGGTCTTGCACCATAAGCACTGGATACAGCTACCCTCTATCCTTTATTTAAAATTACTCCAGGCCGGGGATTTAGCTCAGTGGTTCTGCCGCCTGCCTCGCAAGTGCAAGGACCTGAGTTCAATCCCCGGTACCAAAAAATAAAAAATAAATAAAAATAAAATTACCCTGGGCTGGAGATTTAGCCCAGTGGTTCCGCCATCTGCTTCCCAAGTGCAAGGTTCTGAGTTTGATCCCCGGTACCAAAAAAAAATTACTCAGATATTTTAGGCAAAGGTAATCTCTAAATATCACTGTCTATTCTTAGGGATACATAACTAATGTGTCAGATTAAAAAGATGCACTTTCTGTGACCCACACAGACACACCCAGACACCCTTTGTCCAGACCCTCCGTGGACGTCAAGCTCTCCCCACTGGGCCTTGCTGTGTCATCCTGCCACCATGGAGAGTGGGAGGAGGGCTGGCGGGGAGGCATGGATGCTCTCTGCCTTGCCATGTCTGCCTCCCTCTGGGCTTGAATTTTTCTATTAGCCACGTCTGTCCCCACTTATTCTACCGAGCAACTAAGAACCTGCTCCTATGAACAGCTCCTGCGGAGCTGAACTTATTTCAGTGTGGGGTCAGGCAGCTGGGAGAGGCCCCTATCTTCCCTACTTCAAGCTGTCCCTTTCTTTGGAGCAAAGATTTGAGGTGGGGAGGGGGTGCAGACCCCAAATGTCAGGATACTCTCAATATTATCCTATATCTCACCCTCAAGACCCCCTCCCACAGAGACAAATAGAATATACTACAGACAAAATGGAAAATGCAAGGGCAGCAGAGGCTAGGGGGACGCAGTGGGAATAGAGTCCCCCTAGAACTAGTAGTAAAAATTAGAACTTGAAAAGGAAGATACCGATAACCAGACTTAAGATATTAAATGCACAAGACAACAAATCATAGGAAAATGGATACTTGAAATGAGGTGCGTGCTGACAAATAATTACATGTAAAGTGGTAGAGATCAATGTATAGGTACCTGCTAACGAGGTATGGATGGAGATCTTAGCAGAGATGTCAATCTGGGAACAAATCGAGATCCATTGTTCATAGCGCCCCCTTCTCTCACTGCTCCCCCCCCAATCTTATTTGGGGTCTTTGACCAGAGGAAACGGCTGTCCTACCTCTGCAGCCCCGTCCACCCAGCCCCCAGTTTAGTTTACCTGTTATCAATGAATTACTAGCGTGTTCCAAAGATGGAGGGAGTACTGCGGGGTCTCGGAGTCTGCTCTGGCTGGAGAAAAAGGAAGCGGTTGGGGCTCTGACGGCGTCGCGTCCTCACACCCTCGCCTTCTTCGGCGACTGAGCCTGCCAGATCGGTCTCCCCCTGCAATGCAGCCCCTCCTAAGGAGGGCGGCGGCCTCCCCGCCCCCTCCCCGCCTGACTCGGCCAATTCCGAGAAGGGCTCCGGAGCCCTAGGGGGCTCGCGGCATCTGCAGAGGCTCATTGGTCCGACCTCACTCCCGAGCCCTTCCTGAGCCCCGGTGCCGACCCGGGGGCAGAGAATGCCTTGCCCTCGGACTTAGATTTATTGCTCAAAAATCACAACTCTCAGCAATGGAATGGAGGAGTGTCATTCTGTTTCCAACGTAAGGACTTCGGGTTACTTGATAGGTGTTTCGGAGAAAAATTTCTCTCCCTTTCCCCCCCTCACGAAGGGTAGAGGCCGGGGAGGGCGCTTCTGCGCGCCCCAACTCGGCTGGGTCTGCGGCCTCGCCCCCC